GCAAAATTTTTCTCCATGATAATCATGGGCTCCCCCAGTCTGTACCATCAGTCTGCGGGGCACTCAAGAAAGCTCTAGAAATGTGTGGTGGCCACTCAGGCTTGGGAGTCAGAGCAGAAACCCAAGCAACCTTGCCTGTTCCAGCGTCATCCACTGCCGGTAGGATTCATTCCTTCTGCAGTGGAGTGAACAGTGTGTGCGGGTGTCTCGGCCTGGCTCTGGGGTATGAAACCCGCAGCTTGGCCTTCCCACCATGGCAAGCATGGCTTCCTTGTAGGAACCGAACTGCACATGTAAAGTGAGTCTCCTGGCTTCAAGTGACAAAATACCGAGTGTCTGTATTCATTTATTTCCAGTGTGTGTGTGTGTGTGTGTGTGTGTGTGTGTGTAGGTCGGGGGACAACCTTGGATACTGGTCCTCATCTTCCATCTGGCTTGAGACACCTCTCTTTTTGTCGTTCACTGTTGTGTACACCAAGCCAGCTGGCCTGTGAGCCTCCAGAGAGTCTGTCTCCACCTCCCACCTCCCACCTCACCACAGGAGTGCCGTGATTACAGACACGGGCTGCCATGCCTGGCTTCATGTAAGTTCTGGGGATTCAAACTCAGGTCCTCGCACTTGTACAGCGGGCCCTTTACCCGCGCTGAGCCGTCTCTCCGTCGGTGAGTGTGTTCACTTAAATAACGCCTCTGAGCGTTGGGTGTTTTGTTGGTGGCCTGCTGATGTAAGTAGTGAGATTTACATTTCATTTTTATTTGTTTCATAAATCATATTAGTCTTCACTTTAGCAAGATTTTCATAGTATTTGTGTTCTGTTGGCAGCAGTGATTCAAAGGATTAAAAACAAGATGCAATTATCTTGCAAGGGGCACAGAGTTTGAGCCCTGGGGGTGTGGCTCCCTGGCAGAGCGCCTGCCTCACATGCAAAGGCTTTGGCTCCACCCCCGGTGCCACATTCACGTCCACAGTGTGTGAAGTCTGAATATATTTCCGTCACAAATGTAAACTACAGTGAACGTAAATGCAAGAAAACTTATCTTATCTTTGCAGACATTATCTTTATAAATGTATTAAAATTAAACAGCATACATCCTAATTAGTATCAGCATTTAGAATAAGATTGCTTAGCCTGGCCAGGTCATGCAGGCTCAACTCCATGAGAAACTGAAGCACCAAGATCACGTGGTCGATGAATGTTGGGCAATCTAGCAAGCCCCTGCCTTAAAATATAAAGAAAAAAAATGATAAGGGATGGGGATGTATCTCAGTGGGAGAGACTCTAGGTTTAATGTCTAGCACCCCCAAAACTAAATAAATAGGCCTAGCATGATGGAGCATACCTGGAATCCCTGGGACCCACATGTAGAAGACAAGAATTGATGCCCACAAGTTGCCCTCTGACTACTTGCTGCATTTACACTGTTGCACACACAAATGTAAATAAATACATAAATAAATATAATTTTTAAAAGAGCAAGATCTCATTTCCTGTTGCAGGAGCACAACAGGAATTGTTAAATATTGTAAGAGGTTCCTTGGGCACCATGCACGTTTCCTGTGAGCCCCACTAATAAAATGCAAAAGGAAGAAAACACACACACACACACACACACACACACACACACACCAGTAGCAGCAGCATGTATCCCTTTCAGCAGATGGCCAGCAGGCATCTGGACAGACACACCTTTTGTTCTTCAAGTTCAGAACAGGAGACATGTTTGCCTGAGGCCTGAGTGGTGCTGGTTAAGGGAATAGAAGCTTGAGTGAAATCTTAGCAGGTGTCCCAGCAGCTTCCCCTCTGCCATCAGCCTCTCCCACTGCTTCCATCCTGCAGGGGGTTTCAGACTGAAGAACCACTTCCTGTTTGGGGCCCAGAACTTCCTTCAAGTGACTCACGGTCTCTCACTGTCTCTGTGCTGGGAAGTAGAGATGGGGCTAGAGCCAGGCCTGGACATGTCACCCTTAGCCTGGACCCCCACTGGGTGACCAGAGACTAAGTCAGTGGCTCAGCCTGAGGTAGGAACCGAGCTATCTCGGTTCACTTCAGGTGTGAGACGGTTGTATCTTGGTGGGCCTGGTGGGCACAGGCTCCAGAGCAGAGACAGGGGCAGCCTTGGCTTCTCGTCACCCCTCATCCTGCTTTTGCCGGCAGCCACTAGCCCAGGTGAGGTTGATGGCAGAGCTGAGGCACCTCGGTGTGGGTCTGTCACACTTCCTCTTCCCCAGAGAACAGAGAGGCATGGTGGGAAGAGCTCCAGGCTGGGGCATGGACTTGGATCTCTAATCACAACTTTCTGGTGATCACATGGGTTCCCTGCCCCATCTCTGCGCCTCCATACACAAGTGTGTCCACTGTCTCCCGCTAACAGTGATCTTCGTACAGCTCAGTGTCGAAGGGTTTATCCCAAGAGATCATGGATTGTGGGGCTGGGGCTCAGTTGGCAGAGTGCTTGCCTAGCAGGCACAAAGTCCTGGGTTTGACTCCCGGTACCACATAAACTGTGTGTGGTGGCAGGCATCTGTAACCCGGGCACTGGGGAGATGGAGGGTCAGAGGTGGAAGGTCCTCTTGAGCTACATCAGGAGCTCGAGGTCAGCCGGGGTTGTGTGAGACCCTGTCTCAAAACAGGAAAATAGAACGGAAGAAAAACAGTTTTAAGGGCTTGGCAGACAGCTCAGGGAATCAAGTGATTGCTGTGCAGGCCTGAGTGTTGATCCCCAGGCCCCATGTGAACCTGGTGGGCATGGCGGCCTGCCTGTGATTCTAGGGCTTAGAAAGCAGAGATGGGGCATGCCTGGAGCAAGCTAGCTATCCAGACTGGCCGTATCAGCAAATTCTCAGAGACTGCCTCAGTGAATGAGGTCGGGGAGCAATGTCAGCCTTAGGCCTCCTTATGCACACATACACGCACATGCACCTGCACAGACGTGTGCCCACATACATGAACACTCATACACGCACATATGCTACATGTACACATATACATGCGAAAAAAATTAAAAACTACACAATGAAAAAAACATTAAAAGAAAATGAAAATGATATCTGGATGGCTTATTGCTATAATCCTAACCCTCAAGAGACGGAGGCAGAAGGATCGCTTCAAGTTTGAGAACAGTCTGGGCTATAGATTTTAAAATTAAACCCTGTCTTGGTAGAGTAAAAAAGCGATTGGGGGAGATTTGGGGTTTAATTTAAACTGGCCCCTTGCTGGGTGTGCCCGTTTCCTAGGGCCTCTGCTTTATTTATTTATTTATTTTTAGGAATTTTTATTATTTTTAACGTGTGTGTGTGTGTGTGTGTGTGTGTGTGTGTGTGTGTGTGTGTGTGTGTGTGTGAAGGTAGAAGACAGCTTGTGGAAGTCAGTTCTCTCCTCTGAGTGTCCCCAGGGTCAAACTCAGGTCAGCAGACTTGGCAATAGGTGCCTTTAACCACTGAGCCATCTTTCCAGACCCCTAGAGCCTCGGTTTCAAATCTAAGAAGACTCACGTGGTGCTCTGCACATATTAGCTAGTTCCTCCCCCACACAGGCTAGTGAGCAGGCATCATTATTATTGCTTTACTCAGAAGGAGATTCAGTAAAATATTCAAGCGCACACTATACAAACCAAGACCGCACGCTGAGGAGCTTACCCCAGCACTGTTTTCTCTTGGAGGTCCTTGTTACTTAGGCTGTGGTCCTTGGCTCTGTGGCATGGGCATTCAGAACCTCAGGCCCAAACCAGAGATACTAAGGCCAACTGCAGCTCACAGGATCTCAGGGTGGTTCCTGGTACTCTCAAGTCTGAGCTGCCCTGCTCTGTTTATATCCATCCCTCTACCTCAAGCCTGAGGATCCCTGTGTTTTTCTTTATTTGTTCCTTTTTCTTTTTAATGGTGGGCTTAGACCCAGGGCCTTGGTGTGTGCTGTGTCCCCAGCCTTCTTTTAACTTTTAAAATAGTTGAGATATCTCACTAGGTTGTCTGGGCTGGCCTTGAGTCACTCTGTAAGCCCACAGAGCCTTGAACTTTTTACCCTTCTTCCTTGGTCTCCTGACTAGTTAGAGTTACAGGCCTGCACTAGCAGGCCCGTGTCAATACGTGTGCTTTGTAAACTATAAAACGCATCACATCCCGAGGATTGTGAGGAGGCTCGGAAGAGCTGCAGAGGCAGGGGTTGAGCAGGAGGGTGGGGATGGGGTGGAGGGTAGTCAGGGGAGCGTGGCTGTCCAGTGTCTGGAAGCTGTTTCTGGGCCCAACGCTGTCTGCCCACTCTGAAGCTGGTCGCCTGTGTGCTTCATGTTGGCTCCAAGAGCCAAGTGGGTTGAGGAGAGCTGTCAAGTTGACAGGAGCCCAGGCCTAGCTATTGCTGCCCTGTGTGCCCTGCCAGGCTTGGCATCCCTGAATAGGCAAGGTGGCAATGTCCTCTGAGGTCTAAAGGGCTAACTGGAGGCCCCTTTCTGTAGCCAGTCTCCTGGCTCTCATCATAGCTCCTGGGGTGGGGGGTGTCCTCCTGGCTGTGGGGGCTGGTGGGGAGGCCATGCATGAGTCATAATGCAGCAGGCACATAATTGTGGGGCCCCAGATCCACCTCCGGCCCACCGGCCCTCCCCTTCTTCCCCTGGCGGCTTCCTTGGAAGAACAGCTGGTCTCAGCTCCTTGAGGAAGCAGGTTCCCTGGCAGCAGGAAGGTCTCTGCCCCAGATGGCTGTACCTGCGGCCTGTTCTCACAGGCCCCGGCTAGAGGCATGGGTGTTCAGGGAGCAGGTTCTCTGGGTTTGTCCTGCAGGAATGGAAGTGGGACCCTGTGTCCCTGGATCAGCCACCAGCCTCGTAGCTTCCCTAGGGACTGGGGGCTTCCTGGGAACTACCCAGCAGTGGGCCCACCCCCAGCACGGGGTGGGCAGCATCGGGGTGGGAAGCCCCAGGACGGAGCTCATTCAAGCCCGGTGCGAAGGGAAGATGCTGGGTGGAGGGAGATGAAGGCTCTCGGTGAGCTTGTCGCCTTGTCTCCTCAGCTCTGCGATTGAAGTGACATCACCATCTTTGTGGACAGGACACCCCTGGAGCGCAGCCCATAGCCACCGGACCTTCTTCCAGGTAAAGAAAGAGGAAAGGAAGGAAGTGGGGGCGGGGGAGGTAGAAATGGGCTGCAGAGAACAGCCCCCTGGCTTCTCGGGGAAGAACTCGGCAGTCTATGAAGAAAATCAAGAGGGACAGGGACAATTGTCCCATCTATGGAGGAGGAAAGTGTAGCACCGTGAAGAGGGGCCTCTTGCCTAGCATAGCGTTTGAGTTCCAAGTCTCATTGGATGTGGTAGCGGCTAACCTAATCCTTGTAACAGCCCCTGAGGTTGATGCCATTATCCTATGTTATAAATCGGGAAACCGAAGCATAGTGTCATTAGGTCACATGCCCAGGTAACTAAATAAGAAATCTGGGTTTCAAACCCAAGCAATATAGGCTTGTCTCCAGCCCCTGTGCATAGCCTCTCTATAGCTCATATTGGTTATTTCTTTGAGCTCCACTTTGGGGCTTTTAATGGGCCCACAGTTTCAGGGAGGATTCATCTGAACAGGGAGCCTAGAGAAGGCCATGCTTTCTGGTCAAAGAAATGAATGGCAAATGGTGGGACTGGAGGCCTGTGCCATGGAACTTCCCTGAGCCCTGAGGTGGGTCCCAACTCCTAGGACTTTCTTCCTCAACAGTCAATCAAGGCGCTAATCACCAGAGAGAACACGGTGGCCCTTTGAACAAGGTGAAGACAGGTTTAGGCCTCATGTGCTGAGACATGCCTAGGCAGAGAGACTGCTTCTCTTTGCAGAATGCTGTGGGAAGAGAGAGACAGTGATGACCCTGGTGTGTGTGTGTGTGTGGGGGGGGGGGAGTGATGGGGGGGTCTTGCACCCAGCCTCAGGTCACCTTCATCAGACCTGGGACAGAAGCTTGTAAACCTGTATCAGAGGCTTAAGAAAAAATTGTAGGAGAAATGTGCTTAACTGAGTCTTTTTTTTTAAAAAAAAAGCAACTTAATTTTTTTCCTATAAATTGGGAAACAACTAATTATTATTCAAAGGCAGAATTCAGCCTAGACTCAGGAATAGCTCTGTAGTTGTGTGATTGGTTTATTTATTTAGAGACAGGATCTTGTTGTGTAGCCCTGGCTGACCTTGAACTCCATCCTGCCTCAGCTTCTGAGTACTGAGATCGTGGATCTTAAAAGCTCTTATTGGTTCTTTCTCTCCTTGTTTTGCCCATTTAATCAGTTTTCCTCACTGACAAGTACGTGGGCATCCCCCGGGTGCCTAACCCAGGGTGTGATGTCAGGGAGAGGTCTGAGTCTGTGGCGCCTTGTGTCCAGATCACTGGGTACAAAGTGGCAGATACTTGGGGCTTCAGACAAGGCTGGCCACGTGGGACAGGAGTCTGGGTAGAAGTAGCTGATGACCAAGGACTGAGGTCACTGATGGTTCTCAAGGCCTCGGCTGGTCCATGGGAGCCCAAAGGGCCAAGTCGATGACTTGGGGACAGGCTGGCTCAGCCCAGGGCTTGCACAGGTCCATGTGTTAATGTGGATGGAAGTTGCGGGGAGGGGCGGGTCACAGATGTTGCAGCTGTCAGCAAGACTTGTCTTTGGAGCCTGGTGCAGGAGGAGGAGGGGATGGAGGCTGGAGGGGCAGACTTGAACCGGGAGGAGGTGTCCTTAGGTGGGAGGGCCTTGCTTCTCTCTCCATCCTGGGCCTGACTGGAGAAGCTTGTTTGGATAAGAACTCTGCTGGTTTACATAAGTAAATAAATCATTGCTCCCCATTCCTTCAAGGGACAAAAACGGGGCAGAGAGAATTTTCAGGGTGTCAAGTCTCTGCCAGACCCAGCTTCCTTCTTCCCCACCCAACCTGATGCCAGTGGCCCCCTTTCTCAGGGTCCCAGAGGGCATGAGAGAAAGCTTGCTGAGTCCTTTGAATCGCTAGGCTGTTCGTCAAAGCCCCGGACATCCACCTGAGAGTAGGTGAGAAGGTGGTGAGTCAGCCCCATGCGAGACTCCCCCGGGCTGACCCTCTAGACTCAGCCAAAGGTCTCTGGGTTATTCCAGGGAGAACCGGACAGTGCTTGGGAGTGAGGGGAGCCATGACAGGACCAGGAACTCTTCCCGGGACAATCTTCCTGCAGTCTTGATGGCTCGGAGGGGCTGCCCAAGCTTCCAGACAGGCAGGAGTGCCCTAGGAGCCTGCCTAAGGAACCCAGCATAGCAACTAGGTGCTGCACAGGACCATCTGCATGGAGAGAGGCCAGAAAAAGTGTCCTTGCAACTTACTTGGGACGGATATTTTGTGACTTCCTAGTCCTGAAATCCTACTCAGCTTGCTCTAGAATTCTATAGTTGTGGGCATCTTGAGGGTAAGGATTTTTAAAACATGTATTTTTTTATTCATTTATTTTGAGACAGGGTCTTGTTTCGTAGTAAAGGCTGGCCTTAAACTCAGGTTCCTCCTGTCCCAGCCTGCTGAATGCTGGGAATGTGCTCCGCAGGGTGAGCTGATGTTGAAGTTGGTTTGGAAATATTGGGCCTGAAATCTAAGGTTTTGTGAAGCAAAGCTCTGCTCTCTGGTAGGACTAGCCATTCTTTTATTGAGACAGGGTCTCACTTGGTAGCACTGGCTGGCCTAGAACTCGCTCTGTGGACCAGGCTAACTATGAACTCACAGAGCTCTGCCTGTCTCTGTGTCTGCCTCCCAGCTGCTGGGATTAAAGGCATGTGCCACTGTGCCTGGCAGGGATGGCCATTTGAGGAGACTCTTCAGTCCTGCGCTTGTAGCTTTGAGTTAGGACGGTGGTTCTCGACCTTCCTAATGCTGTGACCCTTTAATACAGTTCCTCATGCTGTGATGACCCCCCAACCATAAGATTATTTTGTTGCTACTTTGAAACTGTGATTTTGCTACTGTTATGAATTGTAATGTAAATATTTTTTGGAGATAGAGGTTTGTCAAAGAGGTCACAACCCACAGGTTGAGAACCACTGACCTGGAAGGTGGGAGCCTCAGTCTTTGGGTCCCAGGAGAACCAAAGGCTTCTAAGCAGGTACTTGAACCTGTCAAAACCATGGCCTTGACTGTACCCCCAAACATGCGGGTTTATTGCCCAAGCCCCTGCCTGAGGGAGAAGGTTCTGCAGATACCTGGTCCTCAGCCCACTGCCAAGGCAAGGCTCAGAAGGTGTGATTCCCAGCATCTGAGGCCCTGGGAATCTCATCCCGCTTCTCTCATTGATGATGTCTGTGAAATGAAGATCTTGGTAATTACCTGGGAATCCATGTGACACCTCACCAGGATGATGTGTGTGGAAGCTCTTTGTAAACTGTAAAGCACCGTGCCTGCATTTGTGAGAGAGGTTGCCTTTGCCACACTGAGGTCATCTCCTTGAGGGTAGGAAGGGCCGTACTGCTTGCAGATGGAACTCCTAAGTCACGTCTGACCCCAGTGGAAGCCTCTAAAATACCAGTGACAGAGCTCGGAGCCTGAGGGTAGGACAGGCCAGGAGAAAGCTGGAGATGGGCAGGAGAGAATGCCTCTGCGCTGGGGAAACTGGATTGCCTGGGGTGCACACGTACTGGAGACCTGGCCTTCCTTGGCCTGGGGGCTCACAACTACGGGAAGACCTGACCTTCCTTGGCGTCCAGTTCTTTCCCAGAAGAGCAGCAGTCTCCTGTGACAGAAGAGTTGGGTAAACAGGAGGGCCTGGCATTACCATGCAGAAGATTCATAATGACCCTAATTATGGCATGATTAATTCTTTGAGGGCTCTGGCTCGAAGCCCTCCCCCACTGAGTTACTTTTCCCCAAACAGAGAGCAGGTGTGATGGGGTGGGGCCTACCTGGGAGGCCTCATGGGCTTCCTTCTGCCTGTCTCTTCTCCTGCCCCTGCCTAGGGACTTGGATTTCCTCCCCGCCCTAGGTCTAGCTACTTCATTATTGATTCACCAGAACCTAGGGCTTTCTCTGAGATCCAAAGAGATGAAGCACGTCACCCAAGATCACACAGGAAGATGGTGACAGCCTACTGCTCTCCATGCAAGCCATCTGGAGAAGCCATGGGAGCCTAGGGTCTCTGAGGTGGCTCCACCAACAGGGAGGTAGGGATTGGTTAGCCTCACATTTCTCTGTTCCCCTGGGCTTGTCACAACCTCCGGGAGTGAGAACCTCCAGAGTCAAGTGGTTCTTCATGTTCAAGCCTCGCCCGGGGAACAGAGGGCCTCTTCTGCCATCAGCAGGAAGGACGGTGGGATGTCCTGTCCCCCCTGAGCAGCCACATCTCTGCTTTGCCCTGGGGATAAAGAAAGAGCCGGTGACTAAAAGGTGAGGAGTGGAATGCTGAAGAAGTCCCCGGAGAGTGTCTGAGAGAAGATAAGAGATGTGGTCACCCAGAAGATGGAGGTGGCCTGTGGTGGCCGAGCTTAACCTCAGACCACCATGGCTGGGCTTGGCTGGGTTTGAGCCACACTCAGAAGGTGTAGCCAAGGCCAAGAAGAAGATATTTCCCAGTGTGTCCTTCCTTCCGTGGGGCCTGGCAGACCATGGAAAGGCCAGGCCCACACCCAGCCCTGGCAGCCTCAGGGGTTTCCTCTTCCAGTTTCTGGCCTCGGTGTCCCTGAAGCCAACCAAAACACAGTGCTGTGCCCTGGGAGGCTCCCGTGGTGATAGAGAGGTATACAGGATTAGACTGAGGACTGGCCCACCCTGGGGGCTACTGCAGAGGTAGCCTGGACATTATTTAGCACCCTGGTTTTAGACAGACTTCCCTGAAGTTATCTAGTTATCTGTGTGGCTTTATTGAATCTCTCTCTCTCTCTCTTTGTCTCTCTGTCTCTCTCTCTGTCTCTCTCTGTGTGTCTCTCTCTCTGTGTCTGTCTGTCTGTCTGTCTGTCTGTCTCTCTCTCTCTCTCTCTCTCTCTCTCTCTCTGTGTGTGTGATAAAGACTTTTAAATATCCATTTTAGCCTTTAGAGAGGTTGATCAGTTCCCAGCACGCTCTTTCTCTGCTCCCCTCTCCTCACGCTCTCCCTGTGTTTTACATTCTGCATTACTGTGGTACCTTTGGAA